AATATATCTCCGAATATAATTCAAAAATATATTTTCAGAAATAACAATGTATGTGGATGCTACCACTACCTTATTTGTGTCTATTAATTATTCCTTTGACTTATTTTATACTTTTTACACATATTAATATAATAAAAAAAGTAAATTTAATTATTTTTTATTTTTATTTCTTTCTTGTAAATAACTTAAAATATTTTTAATTAACTATAATTAATAATATATTGAAATAAATAAACAATAAAAAATATTTAAATATTACAAATAATAAAAAATTTAAGAAGTTATTATTATTATTATTATTATTATTATTATTATTATTATTATTATTATTATTATTATTAATGTCTAGCATGACATAAGGTATCCACGTAAGGTAATGATAGTTAAAATTGTTGTTTTCGAATATATATTTTTTGAATTTTTTTGAAAATATGTTTTTGGAATAAATATATTTTTAAAATTTGAAGTCTATTTAAAAATAAATGGAATGTGTATATTAAAGTGCATTCGAAAATACATATTTTAAAATTAAAAATATTTTTAAATTTTCGCATGAAGATATATATGGTGCAATAAAAAAATTCTCGTAGATATATAGGATGCAATAAAATTTCTTGTGAAATAAACACAATACTTAATTGGGTTTAAATAATCATTTTAATAATTAATTATTCCATGAAATAGCATAACATAAGAAAAACACAATTTTCTTTTGCAACACAAAATTACATATTCTAATTGCTGCTAATCCAATTCCAAACGAATTTTTTGAGAGCAAACCTTCGAGAAGATGGTAGTTATCGACCATTAGGAGACTGAGGACCTAAACCCCAATCCCTCTAACGCCGATACAAGTAACGACGCTTCTGAAGGCTTTGAAACCGCCAGTGACACCGATCTCGGCAGCGACATCGACGCCAATTATGACAGTACAATCAAACAGGAAGAATGAGAACATCTTCAGCAAAAGAGCCAACATACTGAGCAAGATCAGGAGCAGGGTGATCCTCAGAGAATTATTTCCTTTGACGATGCTTTGTTCAACGAGGAGTAACTGAAACAGGTTGCGGAATATAGGGTTTTGTGTCTTTTGTGCACTTTTTGCTTTTAAAACTTTTCATAAAGTTTAGACATTAGTCATTTATAGTTGAGATGTGATCTTCCTATCCCCGTAGTATTGTTTGAAATGAGTTTATTCTTTTCCACCTTAGAGAGTTAGTGATATACTTGTTGATTTTATCCAAGTTGGAGCCTTTCTCATGGTGATGCAAATGTCCATTTTCATATACTTGTGGATGATTAGTTAAAGTTTTCTCCTTAAAATGACAAGTTGTCTTTTCATTTAAGATCAATCAAAACAAATCTCTTTTGTTATTTTTACCACAAACTATGAGGTTTTGATCCTCCGTTGCACTTTATAGTATGTAGGCACGAGACAAAGTCTTGTCAAACACAAAATTATTAAAAAATACTTCTCTTCTCACCTCACAAATCTTTTGCAAACAACATCTTTTAAGCCAAATGTTTTGGGTTATAACACCTTCCCTTTGCGTAACCAACCCCCTTGCCCCGTCTCTGTTTTTATTAGTTTCTGTTTTAAAATTCTTTAAGTTTTGTTGGCTCTTTTCCTTTTCCTTTGGATAAAATAAAAGTGCGGTGTCGACTCTTGTTTTGCGAGTTAAGTTAATCAATACCTTAATCTCAAACTTTCCCGCTATAGTTCTATTCTTCCAAACTTGGCTATTTTTCATTCATTTTTGGGTCATTCTTCATTATTTTGGCTCATCTTTTGCTCGTTTTTCCTAATTCTTCGACTAATTAGATGTGATGACGGATTGTCATCAAGCATGTGGATCCAAGGACCTGCATATGCATTACAAAATCATAAATTTAGCTTTTTGAGTTTTTCGTTTTGCGCTTCTGATCAGGTGGGTGTCGTCGCTCGGGTGTTTGTTGTAGTCGTTGTAGTGTCGTCCTCGAGCTGTTTTTGCCGGTTCAGGTGTTGTTTTTGTTGTCTGTTCGTGTTAGTTTCAATCCCGGCGTGTGTCAGTTTCATTCTTTGGTGGGTTTTTCAGCCAGAGTGTGCTATGTTTAGAATTTGTCATGGTCCTTTTTTTTGGTGGTGTGCTTGGTTTGTAGTCGGCTTAATCCTATCCTGTTAGAGTTGTGTGGTGCGAGTTCAGGTGTGGATCATTTTCGGTTCTGGTTCCGTTTGAGAGTAACTCGCAAATAGGTATGAGCGCTGTAGGAATTGCGCTATGTGGGTTTTCAATGGTTTTGCAAATGAGCCTCAGTCACATTGCTTCAGTTTTAGTTGGCGACATTGTGCGTTCATGCTTGAGAATTAGTCAATCTCTGTCCTACAGAGGGCAGCAGGCAGAAGATGCCTTTGATTTGGAGTTGTAGTTTTTTCTTCAGTTCTTTTTGTATCCCTCTATCTTTTTTGCTGGATTATGTTTCTAATGTAGATGTATTGCACTATGGGGCCAAAGTGGTGCATGGTATTATGTGGGATCATTTTGGCTTTGATCTTCTTGTTGTGTTTTGTTTCCTAGCCTATCTTGTGCTAGTGTTCTCTTTTTTATTAACATATTTTAATCTTTTTGCTGTTTAAAAAAATCATTAAATGAATTAAATAATTATACGAGTTATTCCAAAAATACACATCTCCTAATCAATATTTAGAAAAGTAGGGGGCGTGTCTCGTTTATAAACAAGTTTTGGTGTTGCATGTGAAATAGAGAATTTCCTATTGCATTCTATA